AACTGAAGGATTATTTTGCCTGAGGAGAAGATATTTCCTGTGTTTTCTCCTTTGTTCTTTGTTTGCTCACCTCTTTAATCTTAAAGACATCTTTCAGGGAGAAGAAGAGACTCAGGAATCAAAAAGGGTAAGAAATGTGATACTACTACAAGCAAGTATTGAATATATTTCTTCATTTTTGGCTATTTCAGGTTTTTGACATCATAAACAGATGTAGATGTATGTGAAGATTTGTTTAGTGATAACATCAGAAAAAAAGCAAAATAATCTGTGCTCAGCTTTTTAATAAAGCTATGAACAGTGTGGCTTTACTTGTACAATCTTTCTCCCCCCCAGCACTTCTAAATGAGATTAAGTTCTTGAAAAGTTGCTGAAGTCTATGGGAATACACATTCAGACACTGCAGAATGTTCGATGCTGAATTTATAGATATAATAAAGCATCTATCGGTAGAAATAGATTTAAACGCAGAAAAATCATTTGCCAGCAAAAGGAACCAAATAAATCCCTGAAATAAACTTCAGATAATATTCTCCAGCTAAGACCAAGTGCATGGACCATTTTTAGAACACAGTTTATATAGTTTATGCGCTCAAAGCTAAGCATGAGATTTTACTGAGACTCTTAAGAAGAAAATATAATATTTCCTGTGCCATATTCAAACGGGTTGTAAAAGGATTTTCCTATGTTATTTTACTTTGGATCAGTACAACATGTACCTGTGTTGTAAAGGTACTGAAAGAAAATGTCAGTGTGGACAGATCACATACACCTGTGGGGTTTTTTTTGTGGGTTTTTGTTTGTTTGTTTGTTTGTTTGTTTTGTTGTTGTTGTGGTTTTTTTTTTTTCAATTTGTAGCTCATATCCACTGAAATATTGATGTTAATAAGAATAAGGCCTTCCATCTAGTGACACTTCAGACACTGTGGTATCCAAAGCACTGGATGAATAAAATCAAGATAAAATCTGATTACAGTGAAAAAGATTTCATTCTGGATGATTAATGTTTCCTGCACAAACGAAGGCATTAAGCTACCTCTTCAGAACAGCTTAGCCATTTTACATGGAGTAGGAAGTATTTTCAACCTGTGAATGCTGTACATTCCTAAAGCTGCTACTGGTATGCTATTCTGTTTTTTGGATTTGTATGAGTGCTCCAAGAGGAAATTACACTGAGTGTGGAAGATGAACATGGTCCAGATTCAGTTTTCCTTAATTCTTTTATTAGAAGAAATGGTGTATCATAGGAGAGACTTCACAGAAAGACTTTGGAAAATTCAGGGTCCATTTTGCAGATATGAAAGCAGTATTCCCTTCCCTTCAGATTTCACAAATTTATAAGGTTATCACTAATGAGAACATGCTTAGCTAAAATGAATCACAGAACTACACCTGGACTTCTCTTCTATAACTGCCATTTTAGTACACAGAACAGTCTTTTGCACTTATGTAAATCTTAGGAAAATGGTTTTATTTCACCTTCTGGAAACTTTTCTATTTGATAGGGTTCTCTGTTTTCTGACCTTTTTTACAGAGAAACTGGGAATAGCTAGTCTTCCCTCCATTTGTCCTCATCTCCCCAGTGAATTCTGAATAGTATCAACAGAGATGCTGTGTAATCAGGAGTGTGTAAGTAAAGATATACAAACCTAAATTTTGTTACCCATTGCCGATAATCACTGACTATACTTTGTCCAAGAAGCCTTGTACAGTTAAATCCAATATAAAAAAACAACCAAACAAACAAACAAAAACCAGGTAATATCACAGCACAGAGTTCTCCTTTCCTAATTCCTATTTTAACAAACACATTTGCTCTTATTCTGCAGTGTATCTTTATGCTCTCTGACTCTATATAACATCCTACTTCTTTTTAATTCTTCAAATCCTTCATCTTCTCATAACTGTTCAAACCATAGATATCAGCCACATAGTTAAACTATAGTCCAACCAAACAAATCGCATTCAAGGACATTGTAAGACTTACTGATAAGGTATGTTGCCCGAATGCTTCTGGTAAAGTAATCTGGAAAAACATCACCCTTTTTAACTGAGTTTACTCTTTTGGAAGCTTGGTTAAGCTAAAGTGGACTTGTCTTCCTCATGCTCTCATCTGGATTAAAACTTTCCTATAAATATCAGTTTCCAATAAATTAACTGCACAAAGCAATAAAAAAGTGAAAATGTGCACATTCTGTCTCTGTTGTCATTAACTTAAACTATTGAGTTACTTCATTCAGTCTCTTAAATTATTATTAACCTAGTAAGTCTTTTCTCTACCTTTCTCCCACCCTTATCTGTAATCTCAGAGTTTCTGATAGTTTCCCAAGATTCTTGGAAAGAAAATAAATATAGCATATTTCAAGATTTGCAGTATCTTACGGGATGAAAGATATGTAGTGAAAAAGAGACACAGTCTGGAAGTACCAGCAAGACATTGAATAAAAACAGATTCTGCTTTTCATAACAGATATTTTACAAGTATTGGATTGCAAAATGTTGTGGAACTGGGATGGTTAATACAGCACTCAACTACACATTACTTCATGACTTTATATTGCTCAGTTAGAAATGTCTGAAATTTTTCCTTGAATCTTTTAGTTTGGGGATTCTCATCCTTTCCCTTGAAAGATGAGCTAATTTTTTTCACACTTTCTTAGGTTTTATGCAGTGTTCTGTGCCACTGAAGTAAACTGAGCAAAAGGCTTAAGTCACAATAACAAGCTGATTTTTGTAACTGAATATAATGAATATCTAAGGAAGTACGCAGATATTTTCAAATAGCTGGACTAGATAAGCAATTCTGCTCAGAGCAGAGAAATGTGGAGGAATATGAAAACATCTGGTTGCTTTAATCTGAGACTGATTTAAAGCCCTGTTTGGGATTGGCACCTCACCTAATGATATGATCACATATTATTGGAAATTGTGTTCATAGGAACAGTTCATGTCTTTCAGTATCAGCAGCTGTTCCTTAAGAACTTGATCAGCCACGTGGCTTTGGAAATCCATGTAAACACAACCTCAGCCTGTACATACAGCCTTGAGGCCCTAGAAAGGTCTAAGGAAACCCACTATGAATTATTCTGGCACATACTGTGTAGCCTCTTCTCTTCGGTATGATATTTGTGTCTGTCGTTGCTCTTATTTTGTTCTCATTAACTTGAATTCACTTAGTACTTCAAAAACTTCACCTCTGCCTCCCCTCTTATTAATATTTTTGTCTTTGAAAGGTATTACAGAAGTCTCTCCATGTACTTCCTCAGCTGTAAGACCATTTAAATAAGAAATTACTGTGATCTGGCTTTAGACAATGCAGTATCTGTTGTAGATCTATACTAAATATTTTTCCTTAACCTTGTCAAAGCCAATTGAACAATGATCAAAACACATGCTGTTCTGAATGAAGTGCAAGCATTTAATCTTTTGCTTCCATTTTACTTGTACTCCATTTAAACTTATCCTTGATCTCTTATCAGCCTCTCAGAGTTCTTTCTAGCTTGTGTTGTTATTGTAATTGTGTAACATGAAACAAATGAAAAAAAAAAACTTCTTATGCACTGCTAAAAAAGATTTAACAATAACACAGTAATATCATGTCAAAATAAATTGTTCAGTGCTAGTGAACACACACAATGGTATTTTGAAAGTGTTTTACAAATCTGGTATTTTATTTTATCTTTCAAATATTGTTGTATACTGGGTTTCCTTGATATATGACTCTGGAAATGAACTACTTGTGTGAACAACATCTTGGAAACACATTAATCAGTGCTATATTTTTTCTAGTCTCATTATTATTATCTTAATAATTTTATTATCTTGTTATTATTATCTTAATGGTTTTTGTGGGTTAATAAAACTCCTACAAAGTTCAGCCATTCCCTAGTTCACTGATACTAGAACTGATTCAGAGAAGTCCACCAAGACCCTTCTGGAAAGCTTTTAGTAACTGACTTGGTCTGGCTTTTCTTATTTATGGCTCTTACATAAGCATATGAATCTTTTGTGCTAGAGACTGTACAAAATAACATGAAGAATCTGTTGCACCTTCCTTTTCTTTGTAAGTCCTTGCTGTAGTTTCTTTGAGCAGTCAGTATTGGCCATAGACATGTCACAGAGATTGTAACAGGAAAAACGGGCTTATCAATGGCATAATTTCCTTCATGACATCATGCCAACTGTGCAATGCTGACAATCCCTTTCCTGGTTGTAATTACAGAAGACTAATTGCCTGCATTGTAAGCATTAAGTAAGACAGTCACAACATTTAATTAATTTCTAGCATTTCACAACTCCATTACAAAGGCTAGGAGATGTAATTGGGTCAAATAAAGCCACTGAATATACTTGGATGAAATGCAATAATTTGACAAAACACACAAAAACCTCCCCTGTTATGAGCTATACCTACTGCAACTGAAACACAGTAAACTATGTGAAATGCAGTGCATTAACTGGACCATGTAGGTTGTTGAAATCCTTGGGATTCAGACTTGTGTGTCTGCGAATTCTGGCTGACTTAGAGTATGGATCACTTGCTTCATGTCTGATATACTTTTAATATTTAGCTCTGTTGAAATAACTAACGTTGAAATAAACTTTTTTATGGTGGTGAAGTATGAATAGTGTTTCATACAGAACACTGCAGTTCCTATCATTAAAATTGCATGAGTTATCACTTCCATTGGTTTTGTTCAAGTTGTGAAAAAGTAGCCCCTTGTATTGTATTCCCCTTACTTAACTGTTAACAGTTTCTCTGGGGAGTGTCAGTGACATTTACCTTCTTTCTCTAACACACTTTTACCACAAGCATTTCTGCTTGCTTTGAGAGATGGAAGAACTACAAAACCATCACATCAGAGACTATAAGAGGAAGAAATCAATGGAAATTCAGCCTTTTAGCCCCTGCTGCTATCATCACTGGGAGAAAAAAAATAATAGTTCTCAAATTAATTTTGGTAGTGAATGCTAAACAGGCATTAAAAAAATGCACTTACTTCTCTCTGTTGAATATGATGAATTCTTTCCTAACGGTTTCCAAGCACTGCTGCAGGTGTACGTTCTTTAAAAAACAGCATAAGTTGATTAAAAAAGATGGAAAATCATAGACAAAAATCACAACAGAAACAATACTGAACAAAAAGGCTTGTGAATGAGTACTATCAGAAGCCATTTTGAAGACTCTTCAAAAGTGGACCATGATAGCAAAATCAATCTTTCTTTCTTTTGGAAGAAGTTCCCTGCAAAGAATTCCTGAGTATTTTTATGCCTGATAGCTCTAAGAACAGCTTGCATGAACATTCAAAATCATTAGAGTAGCAACAGAATTTATAAAACCTCACCGAAATGAAAATTCAAGTCTGGAAAATGATTATTTCTTAATCTTCTCAGAAGTTTAGACTGTTTATACAATTAGTCTACATGGGACACAAGAGACAGCTTTAAAACATTTGTAAATAATGAGTTTTTCACTGCATACTTTTCATTTTTGGTACTAGCAGTGGATAAATACTCCTTGTAACTATCTATCCATCTGTGGGGAAGCATATTTGCCAACTGTCAACAATTTTTCATACTTTAAATGAGCATCTGTGAGAATCTTAAAAATGATTATAACTTAAACATGCTGTTAATATTTGACTGAAATAAATGGTTGCTTTTCATCTTGCTTTGGAGATGGTTTATGCCGTATGTAAAATGACAGACAGAGGTTGTGTGTATTTTCAGAGATGATAAATCTGAACTTAACTGAGTTTATCTATTAAAGAGCGTAAATGAAATGCCACTGACTGCAGCCACAGTCCCCATCTTACCAGAGGGCAGGTTTCCTTAGCTCCATCTTTGGATTTGTTTTTGGCAAGTCGCTTTTTCTTTTTATGGAGAGGCTTGGACTCTAAAATCATTTCTTCAAGTTCAAAGGTAGGATCACAGTTCAGTCTTCCTTTCTGGTACAAAAGGATTCAAAGTTACTCTTTGAAGTATCCTTGCAATTTTTTAGTTTGCCTGGCAAGTATTAATAGCATAATAATAATCCAGCTTCCCGACCACATCTGCAAAATGAAAATTCTTTTTTGTCCTGGAGTGATGCTTGAAGTTTAAATAAAGTTTGTAAGATATTAAAGCAATTATGAAGTCAGATTCTTTTACTACTTATATACCAACATGCTACTAGAGTGACTACAGTTATGTCACCCCAATCAGAGAGATTAATCTGGACCTAGGGTCTTCAACAGAATATCAGTTAGTGTTGTAGAACATAAATGGCAACTGTAACAGTGGAGGAGGGATGGGGAGTACTTCTAAGACCTTACTTGTTAAAATCTGTTTTTCTGAAGAGTTGCAGTTGGATTCAGTTATCTAGCTCCTGTCCATCATAACAAAGGAAGGAGTAGGCCTATTTTGGTTAGCAGCGATAATATAAAAAAAATGGTTCATAGAATCACAGAATGCCAGGTTAGAAGGGACCCCAAGGATCCTCTGTTCCAACATTTCTTGGCAAAAGCCCAGTCTAGACAAGATAGCCCAGTAATCTGTCCAGCTGAATCTTAAAAGTTCCAATGTTGGGGAATCCACCACTTCCCTGGGGAGATTATTCCAAGGCTGATTTTTCTCATTTTGAAAAATTTTCTTGTGTTCAATTGGAATCTCTCCAGGAGTAACTCGTACCTATTACTCCTCACCTTTTCTATGTGACTCCTTGTAAACAGGAAGTCTCCATCTTTGTAGCTACCCTTTAAATACTGGAACATGGCGATAAAGTGTCCCCCAAGTCTCCTTTTCTTAAGGCTGGACAAACCTAGTTCTCTCAGCCTTCCCTCATATGGCAGGATTCTCAGTCCCTTTGTCATCTTTGTGGCCCTCCTCTGCTCTCTGTCCAGCCCATCCACATTTTTTTTTTTTTCATAGTGGGGACCAAAACTGAAATCAGTATTCCAGGTGCAGCCTGACAAGCGCCGAGTAGACTGGGATCATGACTTCTTTACCTCTTCTGGTGATGCTTTTGCTGATGCAGTGCAGCATCTTGTTGACTTTCTTTGCCACAGCACACTGGTCACTCATATTTATCTTGTTGTCCTCCAGGACCCCCAAGTCCCTTTCCACAGAGCTTCTCCCCAGCCAGGTAGATCCCAGTCTGTGCTGCACTCCTGGACTATGTTTTCCCAAGTGCAAGACCTTAGACTTGTCCTTGATGATCTTCATAAGGGTCTTGTTAACCCACTCTTCCAGCCTATCCAGGTCACCCTGCAGGGTGGCTCTCCCTTCTGAAGTGTCAAATTCCCCACTCGGTTTGGTATCATCATCAAAATTCATCAGGGCACACATGATCCCATCATCCATATCGCTTATGACGATATTAGACAGCGTTGGGCCAAATATCAATCCCTGGGGGACCCCACTTGAGACAGGTTGCCATTTTGAAATCGAGCTATTTCCCACCACCCTCTAGGTGCGGCCTGTCAGCCAATTCCCCACCCACTGCACAGAACACTCGTCTAGGGAATAACACATCAGTTTCTCTAGGAGGAAGCTGTGGGTATCAAAAGCCTTGGAGAAATCCAGATAGACAATGTCCACTGCTTGCCCCACCTCAACCAAGAATGTTACTTTGTTGTAGAAGGTGATCAGGTTTGTCAATCATAGTTTGCCCTCGATGAATATGTGTTGGCTTTTCCCAATCACATGCTTTATTCTAATCTAATATTCTTTTTCTATTCTATCCAATCTATTATACATTTTCTTACCCTTTACTTACATTACTTAAACATTCTGAATTTTCCATTTTTATCTTAATTTGTGATGCTTTCACCAAATCTTAAGATTCTTTGTTGCATTAGGAAGTCCTTTTTTAAGCAAGATGATTGGAAACAACATTTCTATATGATTGTTTCCTCCCTTGATTCTTTTCAGATTCTTCCTTAATTATTTTCAGGTTCTTGATTCTTTCAGATCTTTTCAGCATAAAAGTTTACAAGAGCACAGTTTATGACTTGAGGGTTTTTTGTAATTCTATTCATTAGTGTAATAAAGTCATCTCATGACAACATTTGGGATAAACTTTTCCTCTCCTATTTAGGGATAAGAGCCAGAAAAATCTATAGTTCAACTGAACCCAATACATTTTTTTTTAAGTCATGAGTTGGCATCCTAATTATTAGATCAGTGTTTTGCTACTGCTGTGATCAGAATAAGATGAATTCCTTTCTTTTCCTCATTCTCTCAAAGCATTTAAAAAATTTCAACTTGAATTGCATGGTGAAAGATCTTAAAAGCAGTCTGTTTTCCTCTGGGATTTCTGAGAGTTCAATCACACTATTGTCACTGACAAGGTGGAAGTACTATGATAAGTCATATATATAAATGTTATTTAGTAACAAAAGGCACTAAGCAGTAGAACACATCAGAAACCACTTGTATAAATTGTGGTGTCCTACAATGAAACGTTGATTTAGAGATCACTCCATCATTTTTATTCCTAGCAAGGTCTGTATATTCATAGCATAATATTAATCTCTCTGATGACTTTACCTTATCCAGTAAGGTTTATTACACTTTATTTGTTTATTATTAATGAAGGTTTATAATTTATATAAAACTATATATATATATTTAAACAAATAAACAATTATTTACATTTGATCACTATCAGTTCCTTTCTTGGGCATGTACGCTTTTTGAGCACCTAAAAAATGCATCACTAGTTCTGAATCTTTAAAAATTCTGTAAATAATTTGCTTCCTTTATCAAATATTTAACAATACAAAAAAAACCCCACTAACAATTTATTACTCCAAGCTAAATGTAAAGAAACTAGCTGAACCATAAACACATGTACTAGTTAAGTAGGAACGGTGTTTATGGAATCAAACTACTCAGTGAGAAATTAAACAATGGAACCTTCCTACCACAGGCGTCCCACGTGCCCTCTTGCCTGCAGAAGGCAAGCAAGCTTCTGACACTAAGGGCAAGCTGTCAAAAAGTTATAAAACTTTCTAGTTATAAAACTTTCCCCAGGTCACAGTGTATGTTGGCCCTAATTCACCCTCTCACCAAAGCCTGCAAATCAAGAAATATTTTGTGTGTGACTCCAGTTAATCAGCGAAAGTTTTGCTGATACAACAGAGAGAAAAGTTATTGGAAAGTGCCTGGCCAAACTTGGTTTAATGAAACAGTAAAGTTTACTGTAAAAAGAGGTGTTGTGCTAGAAAAGATGCTTTAACTCTCACCTTCTTGCTGTTTTTCCTAACACACCTGATCAATCAGGTGAAACAAGGCCTGCAATATCAGCCTGTGTCCTGAAGTGTCTGGTAGGGCTTGTAATAGAATTTTCAGATTAATCTGAGTAGATAAAAGTAACTTTTTACTCCTATTTCCTTTTAAACATAGATTATTGTTTTGCCTTCAATATTACAGATCTCCAATATTAGAGATTCCTGCCAAAACACAAATAAGGTGAATCCAAATGTGGAAAGAATACCTGGTTTTGGACACCTGTTTAATGGCAGACAGTTCAAAGTGTTTCAAGAGGAATTAGTCTTTTTTCAGTCTTCATCACATTCACCATTGTCAACACTGGCCACAGAGACAGGCCACTTGGCTAATAGAGGAGTACCAGAAACATAGGTTCTACAATGGCTTCTAAAATTACATTTGAAATTACTTTTTTCACCATCCTTAAGAAGTCAGAAAACTTATCTATGCTCTCTCAGGAGTCAGGTACCTTCAAAACAACCTAAATTTAAAAACAGTGTAGATCTCAAAACAACCTAAATGGAAGAAGCAAACTGCCACATGAAAACTGTTAAGGAATTAAGGTTACTTGTCTGTGGCCAGATGCAGACCATCACACACTTGTGTCCCAGCTCTAGGTAGGCTGAGAGTAAGCTAGATGTGGAAAACCTGCAGTGGCTTTATTAGGTCCTATTACTAGAGCCAAACCGCCATAGCTCAGTCCTTAGGAGGCAGGTTTAGCAGCCTGTTGGCTATACACTCCTGGATGAAAGCTGGCTTGAGTCCAACTGTCAGGAGCAGAGTTAAAATGGAATATATGACCTTATGAATTCAAACTTGAGTGGGAGAAAGGAGGACACTGAGGAGATGTCTGGGGAAAGGAAAACACTGAGGCAGCAACAGAAACAGAGAACAGACTTGCCATAGGCAGGTTTCAGTGGCTGGTTTTGCTGAAGCAGGTTGAAGTCCTCTCTTTCGACTTTACCTAAGACATATACCTAGGCATTATAAGGCTTTGCTTGGCTAAGACTCTCCTGGATCCCCATATATGTTGTACCTTTGGGTATGAGGGACTGAATCAATCTTTAAAAATACAAAGCAGGGTTGTGAATTTTCCCACGTGCTGACAGTTGTGGATTCCAGCTAGGAACAGGAGGTCTAAATACTCTGCTGAGTTTTGTCTGAGAAGGAGTCTTCCCATGCCTCTGATATCTCAGAGTACAGCTCTAACTTGAAAAAAGGGAAAAGAAGTCTGCATTCATCTTGTCAGTCCATGCCACCATGGAGAATGGAGTTCATGGTCCACCGGGCCAAGGAGGAGCTTTGTTCTCCAGTGCTTTGCTTATGGCATAAAGCTGGGAGCGATAGTGGAAGGGCCTGGCATGGCACAGCAGTTATTCCAGCCGCAGAGACGTTAAGAAAGAGGCAAGAGGGGAGGTCCTGGCCTTGGTTTGGTAGATATGATGTTCACCTCTCAAGCTTTCAGCTTGCATCACCACTGAGCCACAATGTGAAAGAAAGGAATTTCACCCCTGGTGAACATAGCTCTGCAGTGCCTAAGAGGGGCCCGCCTTTCTCCTCACCGGCTGTGCGAGTTACCTGCTGTCTTCCTGGTCTTTTCCCACGCTCCCTGAGGGAAGACCTCCTTGCCTACCCATTGCTTGATTCTCCTGCAGGATGTTGCCTTCAGGAGAGGCTCTGGTAAGGTGCCAAGAAGCACAGCAAACACTGCTGGCACTGTCTTTGCAACCCACCTGGCTGCCTTTGCCCCATTAGGCAATGTCCTCTCACCCTCAGCTTCTGCAGGGCTGGATCCTGTCTTCATCAGATTTAGCAAGAACTCTAACGTGCACCTGGATGAGGACAGGGTCTAGCCATTCCCCCTTCCTCATCTTTATTTACAGTTGCATAAAAAAAAGATTAGTATGCTACATTAGTATGCTACAAATGGATTGTCTGAAGAAGAATTGTGGTGCAATATGACTGAATGGAGAAACGTGTTAACACCACAGTCATTGGTTTTTATTCATGGCCATCAAATCCATTTAACTTACAAATGGTCAAAATAGAAACATCCAAAAAATATCAACAAAATGGAACCACAATAAAAAAAAAAACCCACAACCTATTGGATTCCCTCACAGAATCTAAATGTTATAGAGTAGAAAACTGTCACAAAGGAAATAGGTCAGTCTTTTGGAAAAGTATTTTTTTAAGTGAAAAAGGAACAGCACACTGGGATGTTAAAAAGTCTTGCAAATATTATTCAGATGCCTAACTTTCAGAGCAGCAACAATTTTCTTGGTATTCTTTGGCTCAGAGTTAAATCTGACAATCATTTGCTCTAACAGCTGAAATGCAAAGTCTGGCAAATGTTTTTTATTTGAAAGGGAACAAAAAGTGAACCAAGGTTAATTAGTTTTTGTTGTCATTTAATGAAATGGGCTAAATTTTCCCTTAGATGTGACTGAGTAAATGAAAGTAGAATCCAGAGTAAAGTTTCTGTGAGAAGTAATCACTGCAGAGCCATAAACGCAAATGTAAACAAGAAAACAGGAGTTTTAAACTGTTTAAAGTCAGAATTTACAAACACAGTTCACCTTCAACTTACATTAGGAACAAAGCCTGGGGTCACAGCTTTCTCTAGAACAGCATCCCAGTTGACATCAGCTAGGTATGGAGAGCTTTGGATGTCAGCAAGGCTTGAAAGACGGCACTCTGGATCCTTAGTGAGGAGCTGTGATCAAGCACAAGGCATTTTCTAAGGAACGGGATGCCATATAAAAGAGTAAATGTATCATATGCATCAGTTGTATGATACACAATTTTTAGTAAGAAAATGGCTAGGGAATCTTCTAACAACTCCTAGAATTGCCAATCTAAAAAAATAATAGTAACTCATAGGGTATGAATATAACAGTTGCCACCAGATGGCTGATGCAGGCATGAAGTGTATAAATGGATTAGTAACAAAAGTCTGTTTACAATACACACGAGTCCGAGCAACACAAAACATCACAGAGCAATGCCACCTAACAATTTGTATTTCATCTTAAATTTACTGAAAGATATAGTTACACTCAGCATCCTGGCAGCAATTAAAATTAACCACCTCATTTCTCCATCTATCATAAATAGATTGCTCATTGTCGCAAAGGAAATAGATCTTATATTGCTCTATTTGCATATTCACAAACATGTCCTGCTCAAATATCAGTACTGAAGATCTGAAATACCTAAAAGAGACAGATGAGTCTTGCAGCATGGTCACAAAATTTAACCAAATAAATAATTGGGATTTGAGGAAGCAAGTGAGTTCCAGGGTCATTTTGCATTCAGAAAGAAGTCTGTCTTGTAGCTTAGTGACATTTACAGCAAAGTGGCTCGACTTTTGTTGTTGCAACTATAGCAACATGGGACAGGGAGAGATACAGCCCTTTTCAATTCTAAGCTCCTTGTCTGGAAACTGTGGCAGAGATCCAGAGGGCAGAGTGGTCCTTCCTCTCCTCTCCCACATGCACAGCTACAGCTGGAGAGAAAGGGGGCCAGGGCACAGAATGGGAATTACTGATCCCTAGAGTTTTGCTATCAATACTGAATCAGTTTTTAAGTACGTAAAAATTAGATTTCTATTTCTTTTAGGCCATGAAAATTCTGATTCTAAACCTAAGAATAAACCAGCTTCTCAATAGAAAATACTGCACCACTCACATTCAGGAAAGTCTAGGCATAAACACTGCTTTTTTATCCTTGAAATTTTGACTACCTAATGTGTGTGCTTGCCTAACATCTCTGCATTGCTGGAGGGGCTTCTGGAAGAGGAGAGGAGAGGACAGAAGGTGTTTGCGCTTTCTTACCTTTTTCAGCAGTGCTATCATGCCCTTGCACCATGCAGATGAGTAATGAACTCTTTCTATCTTGAACATGTTGAGTATCTCATCAATGGGCGTGGCTGAATGAATTTCATAGGGCCTCTGAGATAAAGTTAAATCAGTATCAAGACAGCGACAATGGATAAGAGTGTAGACAATTCATGTTTTCCTGAGCTCAATATTGTTTGTACTGGAAATATCAAAACCACCAAAATATAACAATTTTAAGGCTAATCCTTCTTTGTGTGTGTGCTTTTCTTTGGTCATAATGACTGTAATTACTCATAGATGCATTTCCTCTGAAAATTTTTCTCTCATGAAAAGAAGTATCAAATGAGATGGCTGAATAATTTTGTTCCTGAGGCATTCTATGTGAAATGTGGATTATTCATTAATTTTTACTTGTAGTATTAGAATGCACTTGTGATCTAAACTGATAAAATGGAATAGTTGTTGTTGCTGAAGGGAGCTTTGTCATCCTGATTTTACTGAGTAGTATATAGAGAAATCAAAAACAGCTTACAAAAATCTGTGTAAGAACAGAAGAACAGACTCTCCAAATCCCAATCCTCTTTTTCCCTTTTTGAAATCTAAAATTAACATGGACCTATGGATTATATGGACCTGCTGTCCTGTGTCTGTGCCTAAATTCTTCTACAGGTGAAGAGAAGCGCTAGGCTTCACAGTGCTTTGTTCATGAAGATTGCTGTGATTTATCTTTTATTAAATGTACCATTTGGAAATGAAAGTACTACATATAAATTTATATTCTTATTAATTATTGTACACATATTTTTTTAAGACTTGCATTTGTAAAGTAAGTTGTTAGAATGATACTCTATATTAATGCATTTTTTAAAACAAGGATAGAGTATGGATTGCTTGTGAATTAGGTTGTACCCAGCAGGTGACAAATATGTGATATGTGATATGAGATCTGCAGCCAAATGCTGTCATGGCAGCATTGTGCAAATTGATGCATCGTAATTCATACACAACATAGAGTTACCCTCTAATCCAATACTCTCAACAGCAAAGGGCAGACACTCATTACCTTCACTAAGAGCTGAATCATCCCTTGAGTTTTGCTAACATATACTAGCAAAAAATTGTAATTTAAGAATAATTCTACATGTTAGTTACCTAATCTGATAGTACATTGGGGCCACTCTTCATAAAAGACCAGAAAATATTCTTATTTTGAGAAGATTCCTGCCCATGTTTAACTTTGAACACATGTATGAAACTAAGTCTATTCCAAGGCATTGGGATGTTCTAAAAATAAAGCCAAGGATTGCTTAAATCTTTTGCTTTGATTCACATTTGGTGATTCCGTTGTCATTTATCTGTATCACACCCATATGAATTCAACAGGACCTAAATGGTGTCTCTACATAATTTTCTTGAATCAGGTTCAAAACTGTTGTTTGATATAGTCTGTCATATGCTTTTCCCTACCTGTGGGAAAGCTGCCATAAAACAGCTACTAAAAATGAAAGGTTAACATTTTGTCTGTTGTCAAGAACTAACCTGCTGCTGATTTGGACTTCATATAACAACGTGAGCAATATGATCGCTGAGCCAGAATTTAAATCAATTGTCGGAAATGGTGATTTAGCTCTAAAAATAGCAACTTTAAGGAATAATGAATCACTGAAAGTTTTTCTGTTAAGAATCTTTCTGACCATGACTTTTTCCTCACTGGAAAATACTTAAAAAGGTATCTTACTTTAAAGATCATAAGCATTGTGCAGTCTTGATTTTTTGAGATTTGCAGTTTCTAAATATTGTTATTAGTTAATTTGAACTATAAATGACCATCATAAAATTGGTCTTTTGAGGTCCTTCACATCTATATCTCCCATGTTTTTTCAGCTATTCAATCTACTTAGGGGTCAGATCCCTTCTGTTTCATTTTGTGAAAAAAGAAAAAAACTCTGGTTTGCTTTTGTTCATGATGTTTTACCTAAGTTTTTTGTTAACTGTTTACATTACAGTGAAAGTCAGAGTCCACAAATCCCACCTACTACCTCTTTCCTTCATCCTCTCTCTGTTGAGGGCATCATATATACAGTTATTATAATATTTTAGCAGTTGTCTATAGCTTAGTAACAGACTGACATATGTCATGGTTTGCATCATGTAATTAAGTTTCATGGACTTGTGGAAAAGATCAATATTTGATGTAAAGCTTTATGAATATATTTTTTTCTTGTTAGGTCTTTTATTAGCAACTGACTAAGGAGAGAAATGTGCTGCAACATATTGAGAAATGCTAGCACTACTATGGATAACCAAAAAATGTTCCAGACAGCTCTGTACCAGATGCAACCCACTCCTGTAGCTACAGTCCTGTTTCTAGCAACACATTGTCTTGATTGCTTGGCAGTAGAGCAAGGCGTGAGAATGGCTGTAATGCCTTGAGCACCCCGAACCTCCTCTGAGAACTATTCCATCTCATAATAGTAGAGACAAATAAAAACAACAATTCAGCTCAATAAAAAGCAACTCGTTTTTGCTTAGCCCCTTTTGCATTCAGGCAGGCAATGTCATATGTCATGCACAGCTCAGAGGTGGAAAATTATGGAAATTTCTGATGTTTCTCATTTCTAATGCTCGCTCCTTCCTTCCTTCCTTCCTTCCTTCCTTCCTTCCTTCCTTCCTTCCTTCCTTCCCTCCCTCCCTCCCTCCTTCCCTTCTGTATGCACTAGCTATGCACTATCTGACCATATCTCTGGATGGCTCTGCCCAGTGCAACACTCTCCTTTCCCTGGGACTGCTGTAGCAGGAGTGGGTGGTCTGCCTGAGTGCCAGCCCATCTGCTCAATGGAAATGGGGCTCTCTTCTCACCACTGAACAAAGTGCTGTGGGAGCATGGAGGAGGAGGGGGCTGCCCACCTGCAGGTATAGCTTGCAGCCTTGTATGTGTGAGCTGCTTCTTTCCAGCCATCTGCACAGGGATCCTGCAGCAGATGGAGCTTTGAAGCTCGCAGTTGTTGCAGACCGCAACATGCCTTGGGTTAAACACATTTCCTCAACTTGCCGCTACTCCTCTTATCATCACTCCTGTCAGTTTAGGCCTTGTCTAGACTAGAAAAATTTAGAAATACAATTGACGAAAAAATATACCTTTTCCTAGTCCATACAAAAGTGTGGGCTGCCAAGCTACCTTCTGTCTTGCTCAGTGGGCTCGGAGGGCCACTCTTCAAGAGCAAACAAGCAGCTGGCTTGATTGACTAGAGTATGGACCAATGTCAATGTCTTTATGTAAAACAAAAAAATTGATTCAGTCTCAACTTTGCTTCTTCTGTAGACAGATAGTCTTATTCAGAAAAGACTGTATGGATCTTGGCAAGTGGATACATCCCATATCATTTTTCATTTGTTAAAGTGACTAGGTATCTTATGTGATTAGTCTTGGGATTTCAGCCTTCCTTACACAATCATTCATTGTGCTGCTTTCTTGGAGACAGTCATTGGTGAAAGGGTTGATATAAAACCAGCAGGATGTTCTTTTAATTTATTATATGTGCAGCTAGTACTACTGTCTGTGACTAGGGTTGAGAATGTATTATGCTTATCACTGCAGGACCTTAACTGTTCAGGTTAAAATTTTCCATCCTGGGAAGAATGTCAGCTTAAAAACTCAGTAATTTTTGAGAATGATAGTAGAGAAAAATTGCAGACTTTTCTCTTTTTTTTTTTTTTTTTTAAGGTTTTAAATACTCCTTTGAGAGCAGGGACTGAGATTTGGCAGGGGACAGATCTTTGTGTCAGGAGCATGACTTTTGTTATTTCAATGGAAATACAAAATAGATTAGCCAAGTTTTAGGCCTTTGAAAACTGTAGCTTCTGGACTGAAGTAACAATGTGCACACACTCTGATATGTAGTTTTCCATCTAAGAATAGGAATTATAATTTTTCTTTATTTCTCGTTTTTTTTTTGTCTCTCATCCTACATGAAACTGAGACTGTGGGATGGATTGTCTCACATTACAAACTGCCTAGTAAGACACTGTGGTGTTAGTGTCATATGATAACAAATACTTCCCTAAAAGCAGCATACTGCAATGCAATAAAATCCTCTTTCTAAAATAGGAATTAAATATTAAAAAAAGAACACTGCTACTTTAGCTACATCACTATCCTGAAATAGTATCTAAATTACTGCTTTCCATAGGGAATAGTAAATATTTAAGAAACTAACTTCAATTCTTTGAACCAAAATGGAAGAGATTTTTCCATTATCTTCTGTGATATTTGACCATGATCAGGAAGACTTTTCATTAAACTTATTCACATAACTGATTACATAAATTACAAGTGCACTGGCAGATAAACATTTTCTGTATTTGGACCAAGCATCTTATGACATTAGATTAGCTCTTTTAAGGTATTAGCCAAGAGACTTGAAGATATAATAAAGCTTGAAGTGACTCAACTTCTATTTAGAAAAATTACCATTGTTTCCAGTTCAGCACTGTGGAGAAACCATTAAAACATTGGGCCTTTACTCAGCCAAACTTAGGCAAACTTTCATAATGTAATTGCAAGTGGGGTGAAAGTTTCCCAAGAATGTTTCTAGATAGGAAAGACATCATTGCTGATCTGAACCGCAGCCTTGACCACTCAAATTTTATCATGAAGGGTGCACTCAGGGGAACTGCAAACTCTCAGACTTCTGTCAGTTAATGTGTTATTTAACAACAAAACCCATCATTCTTACCCAACCCCTCAGTAATTCATATGCTGTAATTCCTAGCGACCACCAGTCTACTGGATATGAGTATCCTGGACCTCCATCCATAAAGGCCTGGAACACTTCCGGAGCTAAAATAATAAATCAAATCAAACAAAAAGCATTTTATTGAGGTTAGGCTATGGATCATTAATGTTGACAGCTGAAAAAATGAATAAGAGTGCAATTAACTGGAACTACATTTGTAGACACAGCATTTTCAGGATGCAGCTTCAGTGCCTTGGTTTGCTGGCAACGAGTGACCTTCACTGGTCAGGGTTTTTCTGAAGTCAATAATTTTATATGTTAATTCTTACCTGGTCTATTTAAGTTTTATGTTATGTGAATAAAACTGAGTAATAAGAGAGGAATTCTGAACTGAGGTGTAACTTGGAATATTTAGGATAATGAAAACATTTTATGAGACAAATATCTGCAAGCAAGGAGTTTCTCTGTGATTAATGGAGGCATTGAACACGGTAAATCTCATCCTTATTCCACATTTGGATTGAACTAATCAGATGGTTTTAAAGGTATTCAACATAGGAAAATGGTAATTAAATACAAATCCCGACACTGATTGTATGCTGTGAGAAACACTGTCATGACTGGAAATAAACACGCTGTCAATAAAGTAATGAACTCCATAAAAATTTTCCTGGGGGAAAACCAAGATCTTTTCAAAACAAGGATCCAGTTGGCTAGTTTCAGCAAGAAAAACATACTAAATAATGCCACTGCAGTTTCTTCAGAAAACCATACATAAATAAAGAGAGGATATGAGATGAAATGAAAAGTCAGTCATGCTTTTCTAATTATTTCACAGCAGAATCTCAGTACACTTTGTGAAAACAACACTTTCCCTGGGGATTTTCTAAACACTATCACCAACCGTAACATCCTGCTAGATTGCAATTACCATGTGAGCCTCTTCTGGCCACTATACTGAGTCTAATGTACTACATTACCACCTAATTACCATCGCATCTCTTTCTAATGGGCATTCTGCAATGAATAATGTAATCTGGTCACACTTACTTCTGACTGGCAGTTTCGGATTTGACTGCCTATGGTATTTAGAGAAGCACCTTTAATTAAAGGAAAGGCACTCCTTTCAAAGGAGTTTTTGGAGATCTTGCATTGTGGATGGCAACCTAACAGTTTACAACTCCAGACATGACTTCATAAGGTCTTGAAGAGCCAAACCTAATAGAGGATTTTGGCATCCATAAATTAGATACGGCAAAACCCTAATCTGTAAACAAAAAGTAGTTAATGAATGAAAGTGGCCCTACACTCTTTGCCCAGTAGGATCATCTCTAAATCTGGTTGGTAGAACTGCAGGCACCTAAATAAATATTTTTGCCACAATTAGTGTGTTTGGAGAATAGCTGACCAGTGGATCTCTGGCACAGGTAAGCTTGTGCTGTGATCCAGTATGGTATGAATCAACAACGCCATAAAAGTCATCACACTGAATTAGCCTGTCTCACCTCGAGACAATATAGCTTCACTTGGCATGCTGTATCTTCAGATGCACTTCAGATCTTGTTTGCATGCTGCTGGGGATCTGTGTAGGCATAACTTACATGTGTGCGGTCTATCATATAGATGCTAAGAGGGTAGGCGGGATTCCCTGTGCTTCTTTAGTGGATCAGTGCACCTAAATTGCACATTAGGCACCAAAGTCATATTTTGAATATCACCATAGGCACCTTGGAGCAAAGGTTTGCTTTATTTAGCCACATTTGTTATGGTTTTTGTCTACTGTGTCTAGGTGATATACAGTATCTCATTACAGAAAATAGCCTTTGTGCCCTTTTTACTGACCTACATAGATATAATATCAGTGTCACTCTTTCTTTTATAGCTTTAACATTGTAATAACACGATGGATCACTGCCTGATTTCTAAGAAGTAGAGATGAAAGTACTTTATTGACATAACCTACAACATTGCCAGAAAGGTGCAACTGTTTTGCTAATTCAGTGACTGAGTTATCCACTTTTATTTTATTTGCTTCTAAAGCTTCAAGGTCAAGCCATCCCACATTAAGCAGATCAGCAGAAAATGCTTTCTTTTGCCCACAGGCCCTGGTGTTTTGAGGCTCTGTTTTCTCACCTTAAACTGATGGCATCCTTAGACTAGAAAATGGGTAGTTAGGCGCCTCATTTTTAAAGAAGATGATAGCCCTTTTCCCCCTGCTTTACCAATATTATTTGCAGTCCAGCTGGACTGCCTCTCTGAGGTCAGTCAGCTTCAGTGAAGCAGTTGCAAGCACATGCTTCACAAGATGAGGGGGGAATTGACAGAAGGTGCAATATGATTTAAAGTGTCCTATGTATAGGGTTTTTTTCTCAGGGTAAAATCTCAGCCCTACTGAAGTCAAAAAAGACCTTCCCCCCATTTGATAAGGATGTTAAATATCATCTCACACTAGGCTTGTGCTTAATGTGTCTAGTCTAAAAGCCTTTTTGAACTGAGACATTAGGTGCAAACGACAGCCTCCAGGCTGTACAGCAGACTTCTGGAGTTTGCCTGCTCATTCAGACACATAGCATGGTTTTACAGAAAGACAGCAGATCCTCCAAGTGATGGGATTAGCCATCCTCTGAAGAACTAGAGCTGTGAAATACAGAACATAACATTAGGCTTTGCTGTAAGAAACACCTATGTCAGAAGAACCAATTCAGAGTGCAAACTGGCTAAGATAAAAGCAAATAAAAAGTCTGAAAGTTAAAATCCTACACTGATTTTCTTTAGGATTGTTACTGAAATAGACTTTCTTTAGGATTGTTATTGAAATAGACTATCTGTAATCTTTTAAAATTTGAATTTGATCTCAGGCTCAGCTTGGATAGCATGTAAGAATGAGACTCCTATATTTTTGCTCAAGCAATTGCTACTGAACGAAGGCTTTCCAGGAAAATATGTGGGTTTAATACTGGGTCTGATCCTGCAGATTCTTTTGACTGAGGACTCTAGTTATTATCACATACAGTTAGAACGAAGGCAGTAGAAGTTTGCATGGTGGAAGCACAGCTTTTACATAGTGAAGCTAAATCAAGTAATAGCAAGTCTAGCAATAAGAGTGAATTCACACAAGTGGAGAAGTGGTACAATTGGTAGGTCTTACGGGTCCTCACAGCTCCCCATGAACAAACATCTTTGGCATGATGGACAACTGCTTTACTAGAGCTGTCCAAAAGTGTGCCTTCAACAGCAGTAACCTGGTCCAGCCTCACTGCTCACCCTGCTTTGAGTAGAAGGTTGGACTAGAGACTCCTGAGGCCCCTGTTAACATAGAATCATAGAATCATTTAGGCTGGAAAAGACCTCTAGGATCTAGTCAGACTGTTAACCCAACACTGCCAAGTCCACCACTAAACCATGTCCCTAAGGGCCACATCTACAAAGAGGGGCATCGAGACTTCCATTCAGTACATAAGACAAAACTGAGCTGACAATTTGACAAAGAGCATGTTTTAGCTTTTCAGACTAAAAGTGCACTTGTGATATCCTGAATCACTCTACAGTGCTGTGATGCTAATGAAACTCAAGCAACCACCTTCTCACAATGCATCCAAGTGGGGTGATGAAGGGGTCTAAGGCCAGAAGTCTCAATGGGGCCTTTACAGCCTCTTCTTCTCATCAGCCATCATATACTGCATCGGCTATTCACCTCCACTCAGACACCCCGAAAACCTGTCACTGGGGACTTTTGAAAGTCTGGATCTCAGAAGCAATTCAGTCTTTGATTTGGGGGATTACTCTTCATATGTGGCAGAAGGTTGATCCAATACCTTTCATGCAAGGCTTTGGTAACTACAGACAGAGCATTTTAAAACTAATGCCATTCCAAGCTGGGACATCTGTGTAAAATTTAACAGAGCAGGCAAGACAATCAGGAATATTTCTGTGTCTTGTATGATAACAAGTAAATACAAATATTTAACTTCAGCAACTCACCAAGCTAAAAATATTTTAATTTTTTTTCCTAGATCTATATTTTTCTCTTAATAATATACCTTCCTGCTTTCACTGGTTATCGTCTTTGCTTTCTTGAAAATTGACATAAAATGAACCCACCTTTGCACTGCATTAAGTGTGCTTCAGTGCATTCCTTGGTTGTCCCTAATATGTTGTTTCCAGGTTGTTTCTTTTTTTCCAATCAATAAATTAAAATGAATCCTCTTCAGAGCTCTGTCTTTTGATGCTTTTGCATTGTATCTTTCTAGTAATACCATATCACTGCAGACTGTAGAATGTAAATAAATGGTTATTCTCTCTAAAAAAAAACCTTTCTGAAGAACAGTTAATTAAAAACTGAACACAAAAGCAAATCTAGTGGGTTTGCATCCATCTCAGAAGCAGTGGCTTCTCAGGATATCCATACTCCTGTTTTGTGGGTTTAGTCATACTTGGAGCTCCAAATAATTTTGTAAAAGAGAGAGTAGTTTCTGATAAATTCATATATATAACTACTCACTGCAGTTGTCACAGCAGTCAGATGATCTACAGTGTCAACGTGTAGAGGATACATCTCATATTGTATGCATATTTCCCTAAAGATCTTTAAAAATATAAGGTACAAAACTGATATTTTACTTAACTGGTTGGTAATGATGTATCCTATTTGTGAAAGATTATCAGTAGTTAACAATACAATTTATGAGCTTGAAATAAAAGTGAATATCAATGTAGGTGCAAACAACACTGAATCCAGTTTCCACTAATTTTTCCTACTGTAAAGAGCATGGGATAAAATACTTTTAAGTGGGGTTTCCAAAAATCTACTGAGTATTCATAGATATCACTTAACTCCATAGTTAAACTATAAGTGTTCCAGGTCTCTAAAGTTCAGTCCATTTTAATTTGGTGCCCAATGGTGAGTTTGAAAATTCTGTCCATGATAAAATAGTCAATTTGAGGTCTATCTCTTGGATTGGTTGGCACAAAGAATAGCCTTTATTATTTTTGATGGAGCACCCTGGTTTGATCATAAAGATAATTCATCAGAATAAATCATAAATTGAAGACCTTGGAGTAGCTCTGATGAATCCTAAATAGCACAATGTGGCATTTCTTTTCT